GATGAAAAACACTGTACTGTGTCCTTAACCATGACTGTTAGTGTCACTGAACTGCCCTGTCGTATTAACATCAGTTCAAGTCACTTAGTTCTGCAGATTGATATTGATGTTTCTAACCCCGAGGTCAGGGAACTTCAAAGTCCAGTCCTGGGGCTAAAAACCGTCCTCGGAATGGTTTCACGTCTTTCTTAAAGTATAAGGATATAGAAATTCACTGATTTTATTTAGGTTGGAATCTTTTCATTGATTCTTTATTTTTGATAAATTTTTCAGGTCAATTAACCTCTGCTTTTGAGCCGACATTACTTTTTTGTTTATCTTTATATAAATGTGTATAATTGACCTAAAAGTAAGTATTGATTTGGAAATATTTACTATCAATTGAATTTTAGTAACCTGGCTATTTTTGAATTTTTATTTTTGAAAAATAAGCTAAACATATTTTTAAATTTTTCATTTCTAGCAGAAATTGGCATTGTTGCCCTCAGTTTAACTAAGGTATTTTCCATTTGGCTGAATTATTATTTATTTTGTAGCTCTTTTTTTGGCCTTCATTTATCCAACCTTTAGTTTGTTTGTTGTTTTTCCTGTGGCTTCCATTAGCTCAATTAACTATTTTTTGGGGCTATTTTCTACTTTTATTTAATCTCCCACTGTGGACATTAAAAAAAACTGCAGTTGAAGTGCTGTCACTGACATGTCACCATTATGCACAAATCAATGTTCACAAATGCAGTGCATTTAGTTTGAGCATATGCTGAAGTCCAGGCTGTGACATAAAGAGCGGTCACCACCACATCACATGGACACTGCTATATTTCTGGTATCTCGACACATCTGTGATAGAGTAGGAATGATGGTTGAACACTCTCTGTCACTGACCTGTGTGTGAGCGAAGGTGACGTTTGAGTGCAGTATGGCTGGGGAAAGTCCGGTTGCATTCGCTGCAGATGTAGCTGCGGACGCCGGCGTGGACTTCCATGTGCTGCTGCAGAGCCGTCTGGGTCTGGAAACGCTTTCCACAGAGCAGGCAGAAGATGGCCATGTCTGACCCTGGAAAGAAGACACAAAACACAGACGGGTTAAAGCGGAGAGCGCTGGAAGAATTTACCGAAATGTCACCGCTTTGATTAAAACATCCAATTTAAGAACAGTTTCTGACAGAATGCACCCGAGCTGGAAATGGACTCAAAAATGGCCTTTAGGTCTCTTTGTTTTCTTGAAATTCACATGAGAAAGACCGTTAATGTGCAGGTAAATATGTGTGTGAATAACTTTTATTAAAGTAGAAATGTCCAGGTTCTATTGAAGGTTTCTACGGAAAGACTGTCCCTTGACAAGTAGAAATGTCCAGGTTCTATCGAAGGTTTCTACGGAAAGACTGTCCCTTATCTTTGCCATTTGGATCACAAGTTTTCTCACACGTCTGGGTCCATTTGAAACAATGTTCCTATTATTTCATCAAAATTAACCCAGAAGGAAAGCAACTATAGTTTAGGTTACCAAAAGAGGACAAAAACTAATAAAATGAATTAACTACCAAAAAATTGCCATGCTAGATATGCTACACTATAATGCCACAAAAAATGTTAAAATATCCCAAATGTTTGGCAAAAACCAAACAAACAAACAAAAAATTGGTTGAAAATAACTTTTAAATTATAAAAAATCCCTAAAATTATGAGAAATAGGCCATAAATCAGAAAGTTGAAAAAAAAGTAAAGCAGTAAATATAAGAACAATTTCGTGCACAATGGGAGTTCTGGTAGGCTAGGCCTAAAGCAAGTGTAAGTGCAACCCAACATTAGCTAAATATTAGCTTGCAACTGGCTTAAAATTGGGGAAAAAGTGTATGTGTGTGTTAAAATTATATTATATTAAATAAATGTACAAATAAATAAACAAGTAAATAATTAAAAGTGTTTTAAAATATAGAAACTGTTGATTTAAGAGTTACATTGAAAATAGTTACAATTTGCTAACACTAATAATCATTAGTACGTTCCTTAATATCACTTCAGTTCGTTCAGGGTAACAAAGGCTTCTGTTTACCCCCAGCTTCTGTAGTTTTCCAACCACATTTGTGGTATTATGTTAAGAAAAACGTTGTATTTATAGGATTAAAGTTACACACACTCCCGGTGTTTTAGGGCGGCTGAGTGGAAAGATAAAGATCTCCTATGCAATACTTCAATCGAATCTGGGCTCCAGCGAGGAGTGCGCATTTTTCTCCAGCAGAGATAAAGAGCAGAGAGTTACAAACACCGAAAACACACACACACACAAACCACAAACACACGCAGAGTTACACACTCCCTTCACACTTTTTCAATTACCAGGCTGGGGAAAACTCTGGGGAAGGACTGAGTGTTTGGAGCTCAGTTTCTATTTCATCAGTCAATAACACATCTTTGGGGCAAAGCTGACACTAATTTAAAAATCTATGAAGAGCAGCCCGCCTCATGTTCATAACCACTGGAGGAGGCGGGCGGCCCACGACAGCCTCCAACGCCAGATCAATCACTGTCTCGGCTGCACTGCAACACAAACCAAGCAGAGATGGAGGGAAGAAAGGAGGACGCGACGCTGAAGGATGATGAAGATGATGACGATAGGTGGGAGTTTCTTTAAAGATGCTAAATTAAAAGACGAGGAGACGGGGAAGTGTGAATATCCAAGGGAGGGAGCGATAAAAATCAAACTCCAGTGCATTTTAGAGGAAGAAAATAATTATTGACGCTCCATTTTCTGGCTCCAGCTCCGATTCATCTTTCACTAAAAGGAAAGCGCCTGCGTTTTCATTAGATCCGAGTTGAACAGTTGTGACTGAAAGCCACAGGTACTGCCTACAGGAAAGGTGAGGTACTGCAGGTTAGGGATTTGATAACCGTAACATCCAGAAGAACACCACTTTTTTTTTTCTTTTCGGTACTAAACAGTGACATATTTGGTTAATTTTATTCAAATTAATACGTTCCCTTGATGTCTAATTAAAATGTTAGTGATGTGCTTTGATCAAAAACAACAACAACAAAAAAACCCACAAGATTGAGTACAGCTGTATTCTCTATCCAAAAAGTGTTTTTCTTTTGAGCTTTTACACAGTAATGTACCGTATGCCATGTTGTCAGGTATGGTAAACCGGCAGGACATCAGACAACAAACAATGGTTCCAACAGTATTTCTTTGAGCCCGAGTTGGACATTTAACATTAACGTTATGTTCATATGTAGACTAACAGTTGTGGGAAGGCCTAGCCATGTTTTTACGGTGTTGTAACACTGCCTCTAGTGTTTACTAAATATAGCTGTTAGCTGCACATTTAACGCTGAGCTAAATGGTCTCTGGTTGTATATGAGAAAGACCCTTCAGTTGTGTACAAAAAAATATCTAATTTGAGTCGTCAGACGCTCCAGAGTCTTATATAAGAGTCAGAGTGGCTCACAGGAACTTTTGTAAAGTACTGCTTCAGACGGTGATGGTTGCAGTTTTATGACTGTTGCCCGACACGCAGTAAGTTCTGGATTCAATACGCCGCCTCCTCCTTCATTGTGTAGGACCTGTTATGGGCCTGCTTTTTGCCTCGCGGTAATTTATTTAGGTTTACCTTTTCTTTCAGGAGCGTGACCTAAATCACCTTTCAATGCACCACTGGACAAAGACCTGGAGGCCACAGGAGGCGTCCATAACAGTCAATCTGTCAGCGACGCCCTGGATTGAACCCTCTGTTATATTATTACTGAGGTTCTGTTGGCATTAAAGTAGGTCACAGGAAATGACAAAGAAAATGCAGATTGTGTAAGTTACTTTAACACTCAACTTTTCTGTTTTCTATTGTCTGCTGTATCTATGTATATATATAAAAAAGTCCCAGAGGAATTCTAGGTAAACTTAAGCAACTTTGATTGACAGAACTATTTATAAATCAGCTCTACTCTCCAGCTTCCTCATACTTTTCAATTTCAGGCTGAGGTTTTTTAAGCTCATCACATACAACAGGTCTCTGTGGCATCTGCACAGGGCTGTATTTGTTCTTTAAAGTCAGGTTGAGTGAAGACAGAAGGACTTTAGTCACACAGTCGGCTTTAGGAAAGTGCTGAAAAAATGTTTAGGAATGCAAAAGGTCAGTTGACCTCTGACCTGCTGCCTGGACAGAGGCGTGGGCATGGAGGAAATACAAAACCGGTGAACAGAGACGGACGGATGAAAATAACAAAGGTGCTGATTGACAGGTCTGAATGAACAAACACGGCATCATTAAAAAATAAACACACTTTGGACTTTCTCAGGTTGAAGTTGGATTTCAGTGTTTTTGTGAAAAGGTTATCGAAAGTAGTTTCTCCTATGTGTTAACTTGAATTATTTGGTTGTTTTTTAAAAGCTAAATCACATTAATTTGGGCTATTTGTTTTTGAATTATTTGTTTTTTTTTTAAAAAGCTAAATCACATTAATTTGGGCTAATAAATGCCAGATTTCAGGTAATCTTTTTAATTTGTTTAGAATTTGTCCTTATTAAATTTCAAGTATCTTCTTGGCTAAATGAGCTAAAACTATGTTATTTTGGCTAATGTTTTCATTTTTTAAACCACTTAATTTTAACTATTCCCTTCCTAACTTTTAGCTTTGTCTAATAATTTAGCTCAACTAACAAAAATAAATGAAGTTACTTTGTATCTAATTAACATTTCTGTAGTTGACTTTTTTTTCTTGTAGCTCTTTCTGTTTGCCAAAAAAAAGTTTGTTCATAAATGTTTAAAAGATAAAATTATGTGTAAAACAGCCAATCTTCTGTTGACATTAAATCAAAGTTAGCATCGACATTCATTTCCTAAAAAGTCGTCAACATATCCAAAGATATATTTTTAAATCACAAAAATGCTAAAGGTTAGCCATAATGTTAACCATGACAATGCTAAAAGTTATCATTTAAAATAGCTACATACTGTATTAGAAAAAAAAAGTCCAGCAAAATGTATATTCATATTACAAAAGTACAATGTTTGACTCTTAAGTTTAGAAATGCATCAGTGATTGTTCATGATTGTGCCGGAAAATCCAAGCAGTTAACTTTTAGATTTTTTTGTTCTGCAGTGCAGTGTATTTGTTCCCTGCACACCACAGTGTTGGCGCTGTAGTGTAGTGTGTAGTGTAGAGCAGTGTTGTACAGACTCTGATTAGAGCCAGACAAAATTAAGTGGTGCAAACTACGAGCCGTCAGTACAGGGGAATAATGAGTGTGCTGCTGGAGCAGAGTGAGTAAAGGTGTTGTCGGCCGCTGATAGATGAAAAGAGCAGAGCACAGATAAAAAAAAAAAAAGTGGAAGGAAAAGTAGTTGACCCAGGAGGTCCATTACAGTGTAAAATTGAGTCGGCCCAAAGTGACACCTGAAGGAGGAGCAGGGGGAGGAGGAAGGCGGAGGCGGTCAGGTTCTTCGTCTCAGTCCTTGTTTGCTTGTTTTGGAATAATTTACCTTCTCCAACCAGACTCTCGTTTCCTGATGTCTATTTATAAAAGCAAGGGCAGATTTTGTCTGTGTGTGTGTCCAGGACCTGGCGGTGGTATCTTAATGTGTCTGGAGTGGCAGAGGTTGCTGTTATTTAAGTGGAGGACGGACAGAGTCTGGTAATGGAGAGGAATACTCCTGGATGGGAGGTGACAGCGAGTGTGCGTGGGTGCAGGGAAAAGAGGGGCAAAAAAAAAAAAAAAGGTCCAAAAATCCTGGAGGTGGGAACATTGTCTGGGCAGCTTACTGTCCTCAGCAGCTCTAATTAAAGTCAGAGAAAGGTCTGGAAAGATCTCACTAATGGCCTCAAACTTACAATCATTAAGGTGTTCATTATTCTGTTCCCTCAGTTTTACCTGGCAGTCAGAGATATTTTGGTGCAATAACCAAGATGGAGATGTCATCCCTCAAGGTGCTTAAAAATGACAAGGAATCACGGAACCCAATTAAGGAAATTTAAAGACTTGAAGTTGAAAGTTTATCTTTTCAGATTCCGCCTTTATGCAAAAAGCAGGTATTGGAATGGTGCCATGAAAAAAATATAGAA